GATCTATGCTAAGCTACAGCTAAAAGTGCTACCGCCAGACGCGGAGATCGGCTGAATGGATTCGAAAACGGTAAAACTCAACTGTTTAACTCTAGGGGAGTTGGAAAATGAGCCTATTTTCAAAAATAGTGGAGTGTTCCTTTAAGACTGAAATCCTAGGAAATCCTAGAATGTTCCTGTTTCAGTGTAATAGTAATTAATAGTTAACTGATTTCATTTTGTCTCTTTCCTCTCAGTCTCCTGTGATCCATGACTACACAGAGATGGGCGTTCTGGTGTTGAACCGCAGATTTCGGACACCATCAGATGATAGACGATTCCTGTCCGACCCCTTCCAGACGCAAACAGAGCCCGTGGACCTATCCACCAACAGAGCCAGAACCTCCCCGTCACTTTCAGCATCCTCATCTTTATCCTCGTCTCCCTCATCATCAATACGATTTTGTCCACGCTCCCCTCCTTCCAGCAAATCACCGTCATCATTATCTATGCTTTCATCCTCCTCCACTTCAGTTATAACCCCTGTTCCTCGTTTGAAGATGTCTCCAGTGGTGGCCTCTCCCCCGTCCAGGAGTCTCAGGGGGCAGTCGTTTTTGCACATACCCCAGTTGATGCCTCCTTGCTCCAGCCCAGTCCACCTCCACCCACGCCGGGTGCCGGTGGTGGTGCAGCCCATGCCGCTGGTTTACCCTGGAGTGGGATCGCTGGGGAACAGCAGGCTCATGATGCCGCTGCTGGAGGAAAACAGGATGCACAGGAAAGGTGAGACAGAAGCTCTGTTGTCTTAATGACCTCATGACAGATAAATGACTGACAGCCCAAACAGCCAATGAAATTGCTGAGCTGATAAGCCTTGTTGTTGTCTGCCATTTTGATCAACAAACCTACTGAACTGGCTGTAACATACAAACCTCCTTTTTTCAAATTCCCAACATTATGGTAAAAGGTGTTGTTATGGTGCATGTAATTCGATAGGTATTGGATCAGGGAATAACTTAGATCCAATGCTTTCAATTTAAAAAAAAATTTTAATTGAAAAATAAAACATGTTTGTTATTTGAAATAAAATAAATGTTGATTGAAATAAAAAAAAGGTCACACTTTATTTTAAGGTACAAATAATTCTCGCTATTAACAAACCATTATCTATTACTTTTGTCTCAAAAACTCCTAATTACTGCTTATTAATAGGTAGTAAGGTAGTTAAGTCATATGCTAATAAGCAACTAGTTAATAATGAGAACTGGTCCCTAAATTAAAGTGTTACCAAAAAAATGATGTAGTAAAATAACTCAAATTAAAACAGAAATAAAAATCAATTTTAAAAACACTATTTACTAAAATTACTAAAACTTTAACTAAAATTCCAATAAAAATGGAAAATATAAAAATATATTTATATATTATATTTATATTTATATTTATACATTAATAAAACTACAATAGTATCTCAGTTCATGTAAATGTCCTGTGATTTTATTTTATTTTATTTTATTATTTTAGCATTAAGTACAAAGACTACATACATGTACATAAACATACAGTTTATTAAAAAAAAATAACTGTATCTACAGAAAGTGTCCATTCACATGGTTTTCCTTTGTTTTTATGTCAATATGTATAATGTTGACTGTCTGACTTCTTTGATCTCCCCTTGTAATTTCAGTATCTTCTGCTGATATTTTTAGTGTTTCAACATAACTTGTTTCAAAAGCTTGTGATTTCTGTTTTTTTTTTTTTGCATTGCATTGCATTGCATTGCAATTGAAGTAATTTACTATGCACTTTGCATAGTTAAATAATCACTGTTGTGAGGTCAATTGCCAGCATCCAGGCCACTATTGTGGCAAAAACCATCTTCCTGCAAAGTCTTTCACTCTCTTCCTCTCTCCACTTTCCTAGCTCTTTGTCCGTAGGTGCAAAGCACTGTGTTTCAAAGCCTCTCTTGGAGTTTCCGTGTTCTTGGCAGGGTCAGTGACAGAACCCAGAGCCTGGCTGTGTGTTAGACAGGCTCAGCTCTTATGAGTGCAGCTCCATTGTGCTCATCTCTTTATATTCCTGCCGCTACATCAGCGCAGGAAGTAGATGCTATGGCAAAAACTCCACTAAGCTAAACGAGGTCACCTGGGTTTATTAGTGACAAAGCGTATGGCAGAAACACAATAGCAACTGTGATAAGAAGCATGTTTAAAGACACTCAACCCCTTTTTTCTATCTAGGAAAGCTTGCCTTTGGGCAACAGAGCTGTTTTTAATGGGCGCTATGGCTAGGAAGGCTTTCCATTTATTCTTTTATTCTTTTTTCATCCTGTTTTTCCTCTGGGGGTAGGTGATGTCCAATGTCATATAACTCTCTCTTATGTCCTGTATTAGTGTGTTGTGTCTCAGAGTTCTTTCTGCTATAGGCTGACCAATCAGAGAAGGGCATTTATATACATCAGAAGCACACAGTGTGTGCAAACAAGCAGGTTGACACATAATTAGGCCTGTGCGGTTCACACTTTGATGATCCAATTTCAGTTCATTAAAAAACATTCAAGATTCACACACAGAGACCAGCCCCCTATCTTGAGGGTCTGTGCCCTTATGCTCTGCAGTCTCTCATGAAGTATCCATGGCAACAAGACGGGACATGGAATGACACGAATACAACGGAGTCCTTTGAAATTGTTATTACAACCAAACAAAACAAAACAAACCAATACAAACATGCCCAGCTATCTTATTGCAAGAATACAGTAGAGTGAACTATATTCTGTCATTCATTTGAGCTAGGAATAGATGAGTTCACTCAAAGATTTTTTGTTCTGTTAATGCCATTCCGAATGGCAAAGTGTGGATGTCAAGAACATAAAATATCATTAGCTCTTGAGATATATATATATATAATAACCAAACATCAAGACGTCAAAACTGCAACGGTTAGATAGGGGAGGTTTAGATTATCAGTGTTTAATCAACTGTAAATCAGTGTTAGTTTAGTATTATTATATACCATTATAAGTAGGGTACAACGGGTCTAAAGGCGACCCGGGGTAAAAGGTGCCTTTGTTATTATTTTCATCTATAAACCACTAGATGGCACAAAAACGTGGCGTAGCACTTTCCAAAACATCCGTTTTTCAAGATGCACGTGTATATTTGTCTGATCTTTGACGCGATCGTGCGCAGCAGTGCAAAGTTGATTCTGTGCTTACTTGATCTAATATTTTATGTTTTTTTTAAATAACGAAAGAATATGTAAAAGTATGGTATTTGGGGTAAAAAGCGCCCCTTGCTTTTGGGGCTAAAGGCGCACAGTAATTAACATGATAATTAATAGATGGCTGACTTTTGCATTTGTTGACATGACATGGTTAGATTCAGATGGTACATATCATATATTATGTTGGGTGTACATATTAGAGATAATCACCATGTTTAGAATTAAACCATTAATCATATCGTATAATAAAATATCATTTGTTGTTACTACTGTAAATATATATTCAATTAGTATTGGATCTCTCTCAGTACTTTCAGAATCTTTACTTATTAAAACGATTTTGTTTCTGTATTTGACAAAATATTTTTTTTATATATTAACATATTTTAATGACAGTATATTTATTGAAAAAAGTCATTTTTATTTTTCAAAATATGCAGAAAATAGTACAAACTTTGCTAAAGTGATTGTTTTGAACAAGTATTCACTTAGACATTACTTAAAAAACATTATTTTAGCTGAAGTATTTGTATCAATACCGTGGGCCTTTACCCCATGCTGGTGAGCCTTTTACACCGTGTGTGGGGTAAAAGGCCCCTCTTGCCACCTCACACATTTATAAGATTTTTAAACAAAATAAACAACTTGAATGATTTATTTTCACACAAAATCTGTTGCTCAATTAATGTTCAATACAACGTATATATATTTTTTCTGCAATTATACATTTTAGGCGCAGTGAATGGCACATTTTTTCTTAAGGTGGGCCTTTAGCCCCGTTGTACCCCATTTATTAGTATTCTAGCTTTTATTTTTTATTTTAATTTTAGTTTAAGTAATTTCACTCTAGTATGGAAGCCAGTTTCCACCACTCAGTAAAAAATAAGGAAAAGGTAATTGCAACTTTTTATCTCACGATTCTGACTTTTTTCTCACAGTTGTGAGTTTACATCTCGTACTTCTAACTTTTTTCTCAGAATTGTAGATTTAAACTCACAATTGCAAGTTCTAAATTAAGAATTGCAATATATAAACTCGCAGTTCTGACTTTTTTCTCAGAATTGCGTGATATAAACTTGCAGTTGCGAGTTATAAAGTCAGTATTGCAGTATTGAACTCTCAATTTTGAGGAATAAAGTCAGAATTGTGAGATAAAAAGTTGCAATTTCCCTTTTATTTGTTTGTGTTTGTTAATATTTCTATTTAGCTTTCAGGGTTAGTTTTAGTCATTTTAGTACTTGAACTTATTTTATTTCAGTAGTTGCCAGGCCAACATTTCTCATTTGTGTTTTTAAGTTTTCCATCTAATATTTATATTTTATTTCTATTAATGAAAACACTTTTTAATGGTTTTAGTTTACAATACCAACACTGATTCCATTAAAATTATGCTTATATTTTGATCTATTTATCACACAAAGGTATTGCGTGACTACAGATAACTTCATATGCTTTAGTGGTGCTTCCATTGGTCTCTATGAATTGTTGTTGTAGAGAAAAGAAAGTCTTTGTGAAGATAATTTTAAAACATTGTTTCATGGGAAAAAAAAACAGTATATGGGTTTGGAAGGACATGGGGGCGAATAAATTAATGGCTCAACTATGTCTTTAAGGAAACTCTCTGTTGTCCACCAAAGCCTTTATTGGAACATTAATCAAAATGTCATTAGATTAGAATCTTAATAGTTTCATTTAATGGTTTAGTGCTATGGCCATAGAATTATACTGAAGAGCCAGTGTCCACATAACTGAGTCAATCCCATGTATTTATAGACATAACAGAAATTAGTTACATATGTAACTACATGCAGGTATTTTTTATATTAGTACAATGTTAAAAACATGTACACAAAAGTACATTGTATCTATTGATCAATTCAAATGTAGCCTAAGTACATAGTAGTTAAAAACACTACCATGCACAAGCTCTGAATCAAGTACAGAAAATCAAAACTGTTTATTTATAAAAAAAAATTGCAGATTGTAGATTAACTCTGGAGGACTTATTTTGATCTTTGTACGAATTGTAAAGTCAACTGCACCAACCTTCTGTTTTTATCCAGTCACACACCGAATGGCAGATGGACTGTCACCTCGGCGATCTTTGAGTGACAGCGAGGATGATGACCTGCCCAACGTGACCTTGGAGCGTGTGAATGAAACGGGATCCACTGCCCTGACTATCGCCCGCGCCGTGCAAGAGTAAAGACACCTTCATCATTAATCTGCAATATTTATAATCCGATCCTATCTATCATTGTGATATATGATATTAATTCTCAGAGCTCACTGTGTGCACAGTGATATGAAATCCAGGATGACAAAGAATTTAGAAATAACATTTTTAGATTGTGATAGGGACCCAAGCTTTTACAAGGAGAATCACATCAAGCTGTAAACATGGGAGGGGTGTTGGCATCCAAAAAGGTGCTTTTTAAAGCAGATGTGCAAAACGTGCAAATAAATGTGTTTAAGAGCATAAAAACAAAGATTATTAATAAAAAACTAAAATGGCCAGGTACTAAAAACAGTACCAATTCCCCTTTCTACTAGTGACAGTCATCTTACATACACAGCTTTTCCGCTCTTACTGATTGGAACATGCCATTTTATAAAATATACTCTTGCCTCACCATATGATTAATAGATAAGTATAACATAAGATATTTAAGATATAAATAAGATAATTAAGAATAAGAGTTGAATCCAGCATAGGTAAATACAATAAAAAGGATGGATAAAACCAAGACAAACATTTCCATAAATTAGCTAAAATGGGAGCTTTCCACAAGTTTGTGCTTCCTTTAAGGCCATACCTACGTAAATAGGAAATGTAAATATAAAAAAAAAAAAATGCACAAGAACAGTAAAGAACACAATAAAAACAGTGATGGAAGACAACTTCAAGAAGTCTCCATCACATAGATATTCAAAAGTAAACAGATATTTTAGACATTTTAATTTCTAATTTATTTTCTTTTTTATGAGTTTGAGTGTTAGTGAGAGTCTTCTTTTTTAAAATAAAGAATTCGATATGGAACATATACCTGAAGTGTTCACGAACTTATAAGAAAGCAAGTAGGAACAAAGGCAATAATGTGTGTGGAAATGACAAAGGTGCCAGTATGATTCATAGAACGTTGCAGGAGTGAATATTAGTGTGGAAGAGAATGTGTCTTATTGCTTATTTGACCTGTTGGTTCTTAAATCAATAAGGGTTTGATCCAGTGAGTCATCTAGTGTTTGTATATACAGTAAACTGTTTCTATGCAGTTATAGTTTAGGGACAAATTTTTAAATCTGACAAAACCACCCTGGGGACATTTTCAGACATTTTGACTGGATTCATAAATAATTCCAGTAATATTTTTCCTTAATTATTGTATTATTATTTGTATTATTATAATTAGCTTTATACATTCTCAGAAAGAAAGGTAGAAAAGCTTTCACTGGAGTGGTACCCTTAAAATGTAAATATTAATAGTGTAAAGTTACATAATCTACATAATAGTGCCTCGATGGTACACAATAGTACTTTCCCAAAAGGTACTGTCCCAGTGACAGCTTTTGTACCTTTTTTTCTGAGCATGTTTATATTTTTACGCGTTTGGCAGATGCCTATCCAATTTAAAGCCTATTCAGGGTAAACATTTTGCGAGTATGGCCTTGTTTGAGCTTCAGGAACTGATTTCAGTCTCAGAGGGAGTGTGTGCTTCAGGTTGAACGTGTTTTGGGCACAGGTGCACAGGAGTCGATGCAGGTTTATGTATCCCCTGACCCGTGATCAGCTGAATAATGAATGGATGTCATTCTTACCTTTATTATTATATTAAACTGATAAACTGGTCTCCAGACAGTGATGCTGCCCTGCACGTCACCACCACTGGAAAGCCCCTCTGGTGTTCTCCAGTGGGAAACATACAAACAAAAGACGGAACATAAATGACTGTGCTGAGTTTAGTCTGACGGCAGCTGCTGTTTCCCTCCCTGGTCCTCTCTTTGGCAACAACAGTCTAACGCTGATTCTTACTGTAAAACTTAGATGGAGTTCCTCTGAACTAGGACTAAAAATTCCAAACTGCAAATGAGCACATAGTCCTAATGGAATGTGCAAAAGAGTGACAGCATTTTAAAGAATGTAGACATTGTTTGAAGGAGGAGAAAAGATCTAGGAGGTTTTCTTTCTTTCTTTTCCTCTTTGGGCCCCAAAAGTGATGGAGTGTGCCAAAAGCTACAGGTGCCCCTTGTTGACCTCCCCTCCACACACACATACACACACACTCCTGCAACCCAAAAGAAACAGGAAGTGGCTCTGTAGGGGGTGAAAAGGCCTCTTCTGCCACTCAGAAAACATTTCCAGTGAAAAGTAGGCACACCATCTAATTTATCCTGACAAGAAAATAAAATAGAATTCAAGAAAAGGCAGATTTCCCTAATACCAAAAATATGCACAGTAAATGTAGGTGATTAATTTCCCCAAATAAGCATTTGATGCTCTCTTTTGATCTTTAAACGACAAATAATGTAAATAATAATGTAAAATGTTATAGAATTCTGCAAACGTTTATAGGCCTATACATTTCTGAACCATTAGCGCCACCAAACGGAAGTGCAAAAAATAATAGCTTCTTTTTTTTTTTTTGTCGGGCTGGTTAGCATATTCAAACTTATTCTTAACCATGACTATTTTTTAAACTCTATTAGTAAACACCAACTAGGCCTAAACAGATTTACTGCATGCAAGGAGCATACAAACTCTTTTAATATTTGCTTGTCCCTCTGTGGAAATATCACCACATAGATAGATCCACTCTGATTATGGGAGATTTTAAGGGAATCAAACTACTACTGGTATAATTATAGATGACTACAGAATAGGGTGGAAAATGAGAAATAATTTAACATCACTTCACCTGTAGAACATTGTCTGATGGCGTCCATTGATTATTCTATTAGCGTAGCTCCCTCAAGTGGTCATTTAAAGTAAAGAAGAAACATTAGTTTTTTTCTGATTTGTTTTACATGTGAGTGAGTTTATTCCCACACATTTCCAGTTCGTGTGTGTGTGTGTATAAAGAACATTTTATAACAGTAAATATTATTACTAATAATTAATCAAATCAATAAGGAATATAGTACATAGTAATTTATTTTGAAATTCATTCTGAATTAAAAACTACATTAGACCTAACATCTTATATACAGATTAGTTTTGTGTGTGCGTGTTTGTACCCAAAAGTGAACAAAACCTGAGAATATTAACAAAAAAATTCCCTTTGGGGACGTCCTCATTTGTAAAACTGGTATGAAAAATAAAGTAAACAAAGTTTTTTGAAATGGTAAAAATGCAGATAGTTTTCTGTAGGGTTAGGTTTAGGTTAGAAAAAGTAACTATCTGTATATAAAACAATAGAAGTCTATGTAATGTCCCCATTTAGATGGGGGAAGTAAACGTGTAAACGCTAAGTAAATGTGTGTGTGTGTGTGTGTGTGTGTGTGTGTGTGTGTGTGACTATCATTGTTGTACTAAACAAAACTGTCTTCGTGATACCCTTAATTGCTTCTAATAACATTAGAAATCATGTGCTGTCATTGCAGTTCCCTGTTGCCATTCAGCATCGAGAGCCTGCGGAGGCCCAGGCCTTCAGAGTCTCCTGACTCAAAGAGGAGACGCATTGTGAGTTTG